TTAACATTTACAACAACAACAGCAACGACAGCGCCAGTAGTAGGCCTTGACCACAAACCGGGCTGTTACCGGTAATTACCTCGCATCTGGAACGGAAATATGGAAATGTAAGTCGGAAAAGTTATCGTCCCGAGACAGGCGGAATTACACGCATACACACCGGTTCTTGGGAGCTTCGTCTACATGCTCCAGCGGGCGTGTTTTTCTCTCTTTTTTTGCATATTTCTTTGAGTTTTCTGTTTTTGTGGTCCTTGTTTTGATTTTTTTTTTTTTTTTTTAGCTTTGTGTGTGTGTGTGTTTCTCTCTTTTTTTTCATATTTTTTTTTGAGTTTTCTGTTTTCGTGGTCCTTGATTTGTTTTGTTTTGATTTTTTTTTCTTTTTAGCTTTTTGTGTGTGTGTGTGTGTGTTTTATTTGTTTTGTGTGGTTTTATTATTATTATTATTTTTTTTTTTTAGGTTTGTTTGTTTTATTTGTATGATTATTATTTTCAAGGGGGAGTTAGTGACTGTGTTTCTTTTTTTCATATTTATTTTTTAGCTTTCTCTTTTATTTTATCTTATTATTATTTTTTGGGGATGTTCTCTTAGGTTTTTAAAATAATTTTTTCCCTTCTTTATTTATCTTTCGTCTTGTTTGTCTTTGTTTTCTGTGTATTTTTGTTTTTAGTTAATCTGTGTATTACGGTGGTTCTTGGGTCTTCGTTCACATCCTCCAGCCGGTGTCTTTCCTTTTTTTTTCTTTTCGTTTTGTTTAGTTTTCGTCTTTTTTCCAGTTTTCGCTTTATTTCTTACATTTCCTTACCCAAACACATTTTCATAACAAATACTTTTAAGCAAATACCTTTCAGTAATCTTTTTTGTATATATAACAATAGTGTTCACACAGAAAACGTAAAAAACAACAACAACAAACACTATAAAGAAATAAAAGAGAACTGAACGAAAATTTTTCACACATTTCAACATTCTGCAACCAACACTCAACACTTTTCTTAGACACGATATATCACTGTTTTTTTTTCCCCAAATAACTTTAAACATTTCTAATTTTCAATATTGCAACAATTTTTTTTTCTCTCTTCCCCCTACAGGCGTTTATGACCAACGGAACGAATATGTGCTTGCAACTTTCAACATCCGGGTTTTCGAATAATGCAAAAGAAATTGATTTTGATAAAGAGCCAGGAAAGGTAAGGAAGTTATGTGTTAAGTTATTTTGTGTGTGTTAATTTTTTTTTTACTGATGTTATTGTTAAAATGTTAATGTTGTTTTCATGCTGTTTGTGAACGTAGCGATAGTAATGAGGATATTATTATTGTCTGTGGTTCTATTGTTGTCATAATCATATCATCATTGTTGCATTATTTTGTTTTTACTATTTACTGTTATTTTACTATCATTACCATCAACTTCATTTTCCTCCTCCTCCTCCTCTTCCTCCTCCTCACCATCACCACCTTCATCATCACCATCAACATCACCATCATCACCATCAACACCATCAACATCACCATCACCATCATCACCATCACCATCATCACCATCAACATCACCATCAACACCATCACCATAATTACCATCTTCATTCCCAATTCCTTTCCCATTTGTAGTATTTTTTCCTCTTCCACGATTCTTACCGAAGAGGTGGTCGCTGCAACAGTTATTTTTGGCCTTGTTGCAACTGCGCTAATGGAGTAATGGGTGCAACATTGCAGATGGCCTTAACTTGCACAATTATTTTCCCATCAAAGTGCAATTAGGAGTTATAATTGATGGCTGTTACGGAAAGAGAGGGAGAGGGAGAGGGAGAGGGAGAGAGAGAGAGAGAGAGAGAGAGAGAGAGAGAGAGAGAGAGAGAGAGAGAGAGAGAGAGAGAGAGAGAGCGAGAGGGAGAGGGAGGGGGAGAGACAGAGGGAGGGAGAGAGAGAGGGGGGAAGGAGAAAATAGAGAGAGAGGGAGGGAGAGAGAGAGGGGGGGAAGGAGAAAAGAGAGAGAGAGAGAGAGAGAGAGAGAGAGAGAGAGAGAGAGAGAGAGAGAGAGAGAGAGAGAGAGAGAAAGCGAAAGAGAGAGAAAGAGAAAAAGAAAGAGAGAGAAAAAGAGAGAAAAAAAGAGAGAGGGAGAGGGAGACAGACAGAGACAAACAGACAGCCAGACAAAGAAACAAACAAACAGACAGATAAATAGATAAAAAGGTAGAGAGAGAGAGAGAGAGAGAGAGAGAGAGAGAGAGAGAGAGAGAGAGAGAGAGAGAGAGAGAGAGAGAGAGAGAGAGAGAGAGAGAGAGAGAGAAAGTGAGAGAAAGCGAAAGAGAAAGAGAAAGAGAAAGAGAAAAAGAAAGAGAGAGAGAAAGAGAAAAAGAAAGAGAGAGAGAAAGAGAAAAAGAAAGAGAGAGAGAAAGAGAAAAAGAAAAAAAAGAGAGAGAGAGAGAGAGAGGGAGACAGCCAGAGACAAACAGACAGCCAGACAAAGAAACAAACAAACAGACAGATAAATAGATA